TCATATGGCTTATATTAATATTATAGTGTACTTTTTGTAGTTTTGTTTGTAAATAGATATCTATGTTATTATTAACTTGAAATTATATTTATTGAACTTAAATTATTTTCACTGAATTGAAAGTATTTTCACCAAACTATAATTATTTTTAACTAACTAAAACTTATTTTTACTGATACTCTAATGTTTTCTTAAATAAGTTAAATCACAATGCATTTTGTATTCGGCTAGCCACACCATCTGGCCGGACAAAATAATACCTATAAAACTAACCGAGTAACCCCGACCCTGTAATACTAACTGAGTATTATAGTTACAAACATAGATAAAAATAATACAATGAGTACAATCAATGATATCGTATGTCTATATATCCTATATTATCAAAGATATTATTATATGCTCTTTATAGAGTATTTCGTATGTGATAAGATTTAACATCCAAGCCAAAAAATAATAACATAGATATCTATTTACACACAAAATTACACAAAGTACACTCCATATGATATCGTATATCTAAATATCCTACATTATCAGAATTATTTGACCGTATTTAACATTCAAGTAAAAATATTATCTTAAAATTTTATCAACCATTTGGGGATCGCCTGGACACTATAAATATCTATATTTTTTATTAGTAATATGATATTAGATAGTACATCCGTTATAAAGTTTTCTTAAAATGATCAAAAATTACCCTATAATAAATGAAAGTATCGAGTATATACAAATTACTCTAGTAACTTTTCTGTGTGGCTGGCCACAGTATGTGGCAGAAGTTACTTGCTTATTTAGGGGTTACTTATTCAGGGGTTACTTCTAAGGGTTACTTACTCAGTTAGCTTGAATAAGTAACCCGTGAATAAGTAACCCCTATAATTTACCCTGACCAAACGAGTAACCCCTGAATAATTAATCTCTGACCAAATGAGTAATCCTTGAACAAGTAACCCCAAAACAAATAACCCCTGACCAAACGAGTAACCCCTGAATAAGTTACCCTTGCCACACAGTGTGGCCAGCGACATATAAAAAATTGTGAAGTTACCCTGGTATAATAAATAAAAAGTTATTTTTGCTTAATTGATAAAAGTTATCCAAAAAATTCTAAAAGTTACCCAGAATTCAATAAAAGTTACCTAGATATATAACAATATTATTATTGTATATCGGACGTATACAAAAGTTTTCGTACTATCATAACCATATATCCTAAAGATATACTTCCTCCATTCTATAAATATTGCAACAATGGATTTTTGCACTATTCATCACTCTTGTTTGACCATATAATATTATTTATAGGTTAAGCCAAATATAGTCATGTGGGATCTTGTTGGATTCGTCTCATAAAATACTTTCACAATATCAACTTCTTATAATTTTTACTCTTACACAATTATAGATATTTAGCATATAAATTGTGCTTTGGGATGCATAATTTCATCCTTGTTGCAATATTAATAGAAAGGAGGAAATATTCACTAAATAATACCTTAACATAAATAATCCTAAATATATTATTTTCATGGTAATATAATAGGAAAATATATCACACATATATTTTCCGATATATCTCATATCTTTAACAATCTGGTCTATTTTAATCAGGTCTGATTAAAATTTTCATTATCTAATCTGGTCTAATATCTGATTTTTTAATTTGACTAAACTTTGACCATATTTTATTACTTATCTATAAAGAAAAACATTATCATATTGGATTTTATTAAATTCGTCTTTTCAGAAATGTAATTTTCATAATTTTATTAATACGCACTTAAAGATATTTAGCAATAAGTAAATGATAATTAAAAGTTATTATCTGATCTGAATGTTTCTGGTCTGATCTGATCTAAATCACAAACTTTTATATGTGGCTGGTCACACCGTGTGACCAATCATTATGAGGGTTACTTTGTTAGTATTATAGGGGTTACTCCGGTCAGGAGTTACTCACTCGGTCAGGGGTTACTAAGTTGGTCAAGGGTTATTCGATCAGGGATTACTTAGTCGGTCATGGGTTAATCGGTCCAGGGTTACTCGTCGATCAGGGGTTACTTGGTGTGTGTCAACTAGATACAAGGTGTAGATGGCCAGCCACACACAAAAGTTGTTGTATCTAAATTTATTAAGATAAAGTAATAATTATCTGAAGCAAGTTGAAGAGAACAAGTCCTTAACTCCTATCAAAAAGGTGACGTAGAGAGAAACAAAACAAGCAGGGTTGTCTTAAACAATCTAGAGGCCTTGCGCTATTAACAATTTTACAACCCTCGTAGGAATATACTTTAACTGCAAAAAATTTAAATACGGAGTATAAATTATGCTACCTGATTTTTATCATATTACCTTTTTTGTATCTAAGTAAGTGCATCACTTATGATAATGGTTGTATCTGAATAAGTGTATCACTTTCTTATATGGAAATGTCTCTAGCTTCTGTTTTAAATTGTGTTATCGCTGGTTTGAAATCAGTACTATAGGGTAGAATTTTTACATTTTCTTCTGTTGAATTGTCTAGGTCAAATCTAACAATTACCATAACAATTGATAAGTATACTGCATCAAAACTGCACTTTTCAGTTGAATGCTATTGTTCATTTGACTGTTAATGGCTATTGTGTGCATTAAATATATCCTTTTGCCCGAGTGATATAATACTTTGTATGTGAATTTAAGTGCTGCTTTCATCTTCCTTTAATATTACATTTAGCTAGTTCCATCTGCCAGGATCCAGAATTCACGATTGTCTCCTTGTAATTTATCTGACAGTGAACCCCAATATTGAAATATAGGCCAAATTCATTCTGTTTTTGTCTCAGTTTCAACTGCCTATGTTTAAAGTGTGTAGTTGTATACGCCACTGAGAATATGGATAAAGGAGTATCACTGAATTGAGGCTAGGCACATCAAGACGGAAAATACAGGCATTGCTTGCTCTACATCATTCGAGTGCCTGAAGCTCCATTTTTCTTCTAACTACATTTTTACTATATCTTCAGGCCTTGAGCTCTGTAATTTGCCTGTCTAATGCGCGCTGTATAAGTGTGCAGCCCTTCCATGCCTTTAGTCTGTCCTTATGTCTTGCAGCTCATGCCCTAGTCGCTATAAGGATCAAGTAGTAGGTGTTTTCTGTTGCTGTAAAACTAATAACAAGAAAATACAGGCTGAGAAGGATTAAGCATGCATGTCCTTAGGTTTCACTCATCTTAATAGATTATGCCTATCACAAACAGATGGAATATGTTTCTATTTTAATGATCCTGAATAAGTTTTTGGAAAAAATAAAGACATGTCTTTGTTACTTCAAAAGAGGACAAGCGATCAACTGATCAAGTATTGTTTAAATCTAAGTTTCTGTTTTTGTGTTGAATAGAAACCTTTTGATCCATTGGCATACAAACCATTTACCTTCAACCGAGAACTACTGAAGACAAATCTTTCTTCTAGAATTATATACTTCGTATATGATTAACTGATCTAATTATACCTATATCAATAGTTAACAGGCATGCGAAACAAAATTGGATGTTTTAATCATGTGAAAGAGCCAGGATGCATATGCCTAAATTAGGCAGAGGAAATTGATTTACTTCACGTTTGCATTGGCCTTTTAGACCAAGTACAGAGGTAATACGTTTTTTCTGTAACCAAGATTCATGCATCTTTTTGGCTTCTACAAGTTATTGATGTGTTGATTTCAGCCAATATTTTGAACTTTTGTTTGAACTAAATTACATTCATAATCTTTGCCAAAATTAGACAAAGGTATCGTGTTATCGAGGATTTTCTAGTGATTAAGAGTGATCATCTATGAGTTAGAGATCGTTGAATGTGGAATTCTAACTGCAGTTTTTCCATAACAGTTTTTTTTCCTGTTATTGTCTTTTTGTTGTTTGTGCAGTATTTCAAAGCAAAAAGTACTGCCTTTAGTCTATTTCATAAGTTACTTGCTGTACTTTATGAAAGATTGTTGCTTAGGTATAACCCAATTCTTAAACTGTGAACTGTTAATTGATTAACAATTCTGTTGAAAGTTGCAGTTAGTAAAGAATCGTCTCAACCATTCAAAATTTTGGAGGGTTTTAGAAGCATCTGATGTGAGTCACTGTATCACACTGATCTTTACAAATGCCTAATTTGCATATCTTTTGAGGTTCGTGTTATTTTGTTTTAGCCCATATTACCGTTAAATTTTTATCTAAGATCTTTAATTTAACTCTTATGTTCTATCGGGTGCACAATGAGTATAGTGTACTCGAGCATACAATGTGAATTGTGGTAACCAAACAATATTAAAATTGACATATACTCTTTACATTACAAGTTTTAAGAATACTATGGTCAATTTAAATAATAGTCTTGCACTTGTAGGTGACTAACATACTAACCATTATAATTTACAAGGTCATGTGCCTAATCATTTTTTGGCCAAGTGACATTTAATGTGTTTTAGTGTGAGATTGTATCATTTCAAGTCTCGGTCTAATTATTTTTTAAAATATTAAAAATAAATAATCACCAAGTTCACCAATTTGTCAAGTGTGTCCATTCAATGACCCATTTTTTGCATTTTTCATATTGCCTAAATTTCAAATAGTAAATGTTACCCATATAATCTTTACAAAATGAATGAAGTATATATTAACACCGAATCACCAAATTTCAACTTAAATAAATGAGTTAATAACCGCTTAATTTTAACAAGTAACCACGTGACTCTAATTTGTTCAATTAGCATATTACTCCAAACAATATGGGCCGGCGGCTTACTTCCACAAGGCACTTCTTTGAAAACAACTACTCTTACTACCTTATGGTTAACTACATTCTTACGCTTTCTTTTACAACAAATTCATCCTTGAACTACACCTATATAAACACCTTCAGTACCACTTCTTAATCTTCCAAGTTTAAATAAATAGCATCACAAAACATTCTTACACAAACCATAAACATATTTGTTATTCTTATAGCTCAAAATACTCATTATGGCTCGTGCAACCGCGATTATCCTTGCATTCGTACTTGTGGGATTAACCATGTTTACGCCTCACATTGAAGCAGCAAGGATGATGTTTAAGGAGACTAAAAAGATACCTCATTTTGAAGCTAGCTTGTTGACAAATGCCCTTCCTAAGGGCACCATTCTGCATTCTGCCCCAAGTGATAAAGGCGATGATGAAGTCGTGCTTAGTAACATGAAGAAGCTATTCATGACTATGTATCGTACTAGCAACCGTGATCGGGTTTTGCAGTCTGTCCCTAGTCCTGGTGTTGGACATCATTAATCTCTACCATCACAAGAGATGTCAATGTTACATTATTACTCATTTATATGTTTGTTAGGATATATAGCTTGAAGTTTGCCTTACTGTCTAAGAGTATCCAGTCTATGTGAGCTTATATATACAAGTTGATATATGTATTTAGTAATAGTAATAAGAGTGTGTGGTTGACTATGCATAAAACTTACTCGTAGCTGGAAAAAACAACTCGCTCAAACAAACTACACTACTGTAAAACTTTGATTTATATAATAAAAGCGTCATTTATTAAGTATAGTATGCAAACTACAAGGTGTTGTAGTGAAATTATTATGGACTTTACGGCTCGAATTGCAAGCCAAGAACATCCCAATTTTACATGACGGGTCATAAGGTACTGCCCTGGCCTATTAGTGTACTAACCACAAACCTTAAACCTTAAACGTCCAATCTGGCAATGTAGACCGTTAAACTGTTATATTTATCAACATATGAATTCGCAAAATTACTCTGGCAGCATACCTTCCATACAATAGAATTTGGCAATTTGCCTATTGTCAAGGGCTACCACGTTACCTATGGCTTTGGGCCTTTTGGGCCAATTCTAGCCTTTTGTATACAAACAAAAAGTTGGCACTTTTTTTTTTTTTTTTTTTTTTTTTTTTTAATTAAAGCACTTACTTTTATTTCTTTTGTAAGTTGTTATTTGTTATATACATATACAAGTATATGTTATTAGGATTTTTTTTTTTTTAAATATAGCTATCAATATATTAATTGGAAAAATATGTAATATCATTTTGTTTTATTCAGAGCGGGCAATACTGTAGCTCACTTGGTAGCTAGATCTTGTCCCCCCAATGTGGAGGAGCTTGTAACTTTTGAACCATATTCGCAAGGTGTCTTAGCCCTTGCAGAATTGGATGCTTTTTAATTTGTTACTCCTCTGTGTTCTTTCAAAAAAAATGTAGTAGTTAACGTAGACTTAAAGATTGTTATCACTCAAAAACCATGAGGTTGTGGGATCAATCCCTATTAAAGACAACTTGCGGATAAAAATTCTCTCTCCCCCCCCCCCCTCTCCTAAGAAATATTAGCTTGCTCGCTAAGAAGCATCGGTATTTCAATTGATTATCGTACACGTAATAGTTACTACTCCCTCCGTCCCTTATCTACACGCCTACTTTCCTTTTTGAGAGTTTTAAAACTACATGCCTAATTCTATTTTAAAAATGTACTTTTTGACAACATTTCCTCTATTTGATGAGTTGTCATCATTTTTTTTTTTTTGTACTTTTGACATCATTTTCTAACACTTTCTCACTATATCTTTTCAATAATTACCAACTGTCTTTTCTTTCTCTCTATCTCTCTAACCTCACATGCATATTTGTACTTCCCAATCATGTGTTTGAAGGAAACTTTAAGTTCCTTAATTCTCGTGAAAAATGAGAAGAAGAAGAAGAAAAAAAAAGATGTAGATTAGGGACGGAGAGAGTATAAATTTAATTTACTTGTTTGGGAAGCAATAACTAAAAAAGTCAAATTTGTTTGGGATTGTTTTTTGTTTTTATTTTTCTTTTTTATTTTTAAAACAAAAAACTAGAAATAGTTGTTTTCATCTTTTTTTTTTTGTACTTTATGTACTTGCTCCTCCCTTTTCTTTATTTCGGTGAAATTTGATAAGCGGAAACTATATATATATATATATGAAAGGAAAGGTACACAGAAGTTAGGAAATTCTTTTCTCAAGATTAACCGCAAACGAAAACTATATTAAGTAACGGCTGGAATACCATACATCATTATGCAATATTATGGTTATTATTATATTAGGTATCATCAGGTAAATATTTAAATGCATTTTATTTTAAGAGATTTTTTAGGAACACATATGAACACCACGTCTTACTGGTCAGTGAAACCTTGATGACTTAGATAACAACCATAACACCACACTCAGTAACAAAACTATGTCTTTATTTTGAAGGAAAACAAGCTAGTATTTGATCTAACACCACACCTAGTATTTGATCTAGCCTCAAAGCCAACAATTTTCAAACTTCCAAAAACAAGTCAAGATCATATCGACGACCGAGGCATCATTAATCTGTGTCTAGGGCGGGGCGAGGGGCTTTCGTATATAGAGGCAAGTGAAGATGCACATGCAGTGCCATAAAAATAAGCGATATGCACATTCAAATAAACTCCTAAAACTTCTTTTTCATATACAGGGTTACAGGAAACATAGCATGTTTTAAATTGGTGCCAACATATTACGAGTACAACGAAGAGTAAGGAGCCCATTTCCGACCTAGATATTAACAAAATTTGGGCAAAATGATAATTTTTTTTAAGGAAAATTTAAACTATTCCTGCATTATATCTTCCCAATGCCCACAACGGTCCAATGCGCCTTTTTTTGCATTCGAACATTTTTAAAAAGCCACAGATTGAGGGACAAAATGGCCCAAGTTACCATGTTGCACAGCAAGCCTCAGTCCCCACATCACACTCAGCATTGCAGCAACCACGCAACAAAAAAGGAGACACCGTAATCTTTTCATTTCTCCATAATTGATCTACAAGACCCAACATCAATGGCTTCCAGTTATATGTATTGTGGGCCCCACACCGCTTTCCTGTTTCGACCGAATCTACACTGTCCGATCAGATCTCAAAAGACCCTCCCACCAGCATGTCGTGTGTGTGTCACGCACCAAAGAGATACACCTGAGACTGGATTATAGTTTTACCGATCTTGAACCCGGGTACTACTGTGAAGGCAACACATGGTTCGGCTTCTGGTAAGAAAGCCTCATCTGAGACACTTTCCATGTAGACCTCTGAGAACCGACACCTTTTCTTGAACTGGAAGATTGAGGCCACGGGTCAAAAGAGAATGCCAAGCAATGAAGGAGCCATACCCTCTTAGCCATTTCTGCAAATGAGGTAAAGAAGGCAGTATCTGGGTACTCACCAGAATTTACAAGGTTTCTCTGGGTCAAGTTTCCAAAGAAGGATGACTCCATCTTTGGGTGCACTAGCCTCAAGTATTTGGCTCGGCAAAACTTTCCAAATGTTGACTTGGGCTTCTGGCATAGATAATCCTTTGCTTTAACAGACTTCAACTCGGTGAATCTCTCAAAAAACAACCTTCGCCGCTGCTTATGTTCTGGTAAAGATTCATTAGGGAGTGCAAAGTTAGGAATGTGGAAACTTTCAAACATTTCTTTGCTCACAAATGACTCGAATGTGAAGCATCTATGCTCTTGTTTCCAGTATGAAACACTGGGATGGATAACATTGGCCGCTGCCTCTAAATTCCACCCGGCAGACTGCATCTCATTGACCATTAGCTTCACAAACGTTCGAATAGATCTTACTGTATGCCTGAGAACGGGGATGAAATGGTTGGGACTTAATCCTGACATGTGAAGATTGTCCAGGACAGCAAGTGAGCCACTAGCATTTAGTCTTTTCTCAATCAACCTGTTCTCTTTCTTGAACTCCTCTAGTTTCTCCTTTAGAAATGTGATTTCGGACTCTTTCAGCTTGACCTCATACTCTAATTTTTTTGCCGTAATTCCATAAGTTTTCACCATGTTCTTCTGCTCTTGCAACTCGTATGTGAGTAAACCTTTTTCAGGGAGTGGATCGAACTGTTTCTTTGTGAAACACTGCTTTACCTCTGATAAAGTCTTCAACTCAGAGACCACCATCTCATCAGAAGATTGAATTCCTTCAGCATCATAGGGAGATTGTGCAAATTGTAATCGAGCATAGGCAGCTTTGATAGATGAAATGCTGGCAAATACTTTAGCAAGAACAGCTTCGCGAGAAATCCTATTGGCAACCTCTTCATCTTGTTTCTCGCCCATTTTGCAGTGAACAACATGAACTAGCTCGGCCTTGATTTTTTCCTGAGGCTTCATCTCCCTGGACTTGTCATGAGGCTTCGACTCCCAGATCTTTTCTTGCGATTTTACCTCCTGGATCTTTTCTTTTGTTTTGACTCTTTGCAGTCCATCGGATGGGGTAATTCCAGTGACTGCACGAACATGCAGAACCTTTGAGATTGCTCGAGCTATCCTACTCTTACTTGGAGTTGTTGCTGGCCGCTTGACTGAATCCATCTGGAATAAGGAACAGAATAAACAGAGTTAAAACTAAAATTGCATAGTAGTACTGGGCAAGAAAATCAATAACCAAGCACCGCAAAGGAGATGCAATTATTATAGTTATGAGAATATATGTCAAAAAGAAAAAGTAAGATTTGCTTTAATACTTAGATCGAAGCCATTACACAAGATATACATACTTTATTTAGCCTTTGAGGGTTCACAATTGCTTTCCTATAAAGCACAAAAAAAGGTGGAAGCTAGGACCAGGCAAAAGGAAAATGAACATGGAGACAAGAGGAACAAGAAGAGCAGAACAAACTAAAAAAACAGAGCTCAGAAGTGCATATGCACAAAGATACCTCCTAAAAAGTGTGTCAAAAATTTAGCCCAAAGAACATGAAGGTGCCTTGGTTAGATTGACATAATCTATGCAAGACTACAGATTAAATTAACCAGAGATATCAACCACATACAAGTTGTACTTGTAGCTTCCATAAACATTAATTATCAATCTCCACACTACAATGCACACAGATAGCACATATGGCAAAGCTTGACCCGTATATAATTTGTAAATTGATCCAATGCTTCCTAAACAAGCTAAATCCAATCTGGAAAAAGGAAGGACGCCGGTTGAGTTTCCAAGATCAGACATAGTTTAAACATTACTATTTATAATTTCGCAGCAGCTCGAGTATTAAGACAAGATGAGCACATCTCGATTATTGCCATTTCTGTCGATTTCACAAACTAGCAAACAAAAAATTGACTATTTTATAATTTAAGATTCCTTGAACCGTGTGTTCATATAAAAAGAACAAGGCCATGGTTTAAGAACAAAATAATAGAATCCTATGAAAGCAATTTTAGAATCAGTAAATTATTATGACACTGCAAGAC